TCTGTTAAGGTGATGATAAAGATGTGGTATTGGAGTGTAATATAGAAGCGCAGTTACAATCCGATGAAATGGAGAAGGCACAAAATGAATGCGACTATAATCGAGTTGCACATACGATCACTGTGGGTGTAGCGTGTCGGTTGGGTCTCATTGAACTGACAAGACAGCTACTGCTGGCTGGTCATGGAGCGTTTCCTGATGCACGCAGATGGTGGCCGATTCATGAGGCTGCTTACGGGCTACATTACGAGTGCTGCAAATTAGTCATTGAAATAGGTCGGTGCATTCAACATCATTGAAACATCGTTCTGAATCATGTGATAATCGGGAACGGGATCATTGGGCGGGAGTTAAATGAATGAACATTGCTCCTTTTGATTACCCGAGAATTAATCCCTCGGATGCCATCGTCGCTAATGGAATCTGATGAGTGGATTATTAATCAAAGATAGTATAATATCGTTTCTGTTTCACTAGTATAGTTCAGCTTTGAAGTCTCCGAATCGTTAGATTGAGTTAAGGTTAACATTATTCAGTGTTGTGTTCTAGGTGCCAAACTTTATGTTTTTATTTATTTGGGTGAGCTCGAAATTTGGACGGCACAGCAGATTGTTATAAATCTGATAACAGTAATAACGGGAATGATAAAAGTAGCAATGATGATGAATGATAATAAAGATAATATGACACACTGAATTGAATTTGAAAACAAACTGAACGAATCCATTGGGATCTCTTTTGATGCTCTGACAGTGTTGACAAGTTTATATAACGATTGAACTTTGGTGAGAGTGAAACTGTTCGCATTACGCAAAAACATCGGTGAATTGAAGGTCATGCGGATGTGAATGCTCGTGCTCACGATGGTGTTACGCCGCTGCTGTTGGTGTGTAGACGTGATCGAGATCACGACAGGGCGTTTGCTATCGCAAAATTACTACTCGAAAATGTTCGTTTGTTCAGTCAGTCCTTCAATGAAATCTTCAAATTTTTTAATGTAAATGAATGAATGGAAGCAATTCTGTGCAGCCGAGCAGTAGCAAAGGGTACCAATGCAGTAATGAAAACAATGTTATAAACGCTATCGTTTACGGAAGAACTGCCCGTCACTGTGGTATCCAACGACAATAGCAGAAGCGGTCACTATAAAATGCCGATGTTTGAATTCGATAGCGCGATCTTGCTCATCTCAGATACTGGAAGTAATGAGATTGTGCTGAACAAGTAATTTTTGAATCCGCTGAATGTCAACTGATGAAAATTTTCCGATCAAACTTAGTGTATAAGATTGAATTTTGGCAGCAAGCATGTATTTTCATTGAATTTGTCCCATATTTGTAAACTGTATCGTTGATGTATGTTCAACTTATGCCATATATCTGTAGTGCACAGTAGAAAAAAAGTGGAACGTGTTGGTGGAATTGCAAATTGCAGGGTGCAGATCCAAACATGACAAGCTTGGATGAGATGACTCCGTTGATTCAAGCAATAAAATCACAGAATCGATTGCTCATCGACCTTCTACTTGACTCTGGCGCTGATCCGCATGAGAAATGGTATAATGGGTGGACAGCACTTCATGAAAGTGCCAATTCACACGATGAAGTAAGTAATTGCTGGTTACAATTCTGGGGTGAAAGATGGGAATTTACAGTGTTGTTACCACACTGAAGGTGAAAAAAATTATATTGTCGGGAAAAAGCAGGAGGAACAATTTTCGAATGGAACAATTATGTTTTCATTCGAACAAAGTTCAGTGTGAACAAAAACCTCGCTGAGAATATCACTGAGATCATGAAATGACCACCATATTGCATAGCAACTGTTGGTCAGCCAGGGGACTGATTCAATTCCAACGTTCCATCTAGATCTCGCAGTTTTTATTTCGAGCATTCACGCACCATTGTGCCATCGTTCTCTCAGCACAGTTGACCTTCGCATTCTGTCGACGTGTTTGTGATCGGCCCTCTTTTATTCATTTTTTGTGTTAGGTTTTGTGATGGATTTAAAAGGGGATGACGTATTGTTGATGAATGATATTTCGAGGTAACGATGAAACGTCTGTTGGAGACGGGTAATGACATATTCGCAATTGATGATGACGGACACAGTGTGTTGTTTGTTGCGGTTCAGGAGGGTTATATGCCTTGTGTGGAATTAATTCTGGACGCTGCTGGAGGTTCGTTTTTGTTTATTGATTACGAGAAATCGTAATGGAATTGTTCTTGTGGTTGCCTTTCAATCGATCTTATCCAGAAGGGATTTTTTGGTTAAAGCGAAATTTTTTGTTTGTTTCAGAGAGAGCTGCCGAATTGGCAAATCAGCGCTTGAACGATGGTTGTTCATGTGTCATGGTGGCAGCCACCGAAGGATATTGGCAGGTTCGATTATCGTTCAAAGAAACCTTTCACACCTTTAATGAATCATGTCAATAATGGCATCAGTCACAGCGATAGTAATAGTAATGACAGTAATGGGGAAGTGACAATGAACACATCGAAATATTCAAGATTTAATAATTTAGATATAATAATAATCGAGATATTCAAGATTTTATCGAAGCTGATGGAACACGGAGCAGATTGTAATCTGACCTTACAACCGATTTGGGGCTCGTCTGGAGGCGGTTTGCATGCGTTGGCAATTGCAGCGCAGCATAACTACTGGAAATGCGTGGACATTCTACTGCCATACGTCGATCGAGCAGTGCTCGCTGATACGGATGTTCGCGTTACTTTACTCAGTCATTTCTTCTAAATACGTGTTCTTTATTCATTTATGTTACGATATCTGTTTGCTTATTATTTCGTTTGGAAACTTGATATTATGCTGCATGATACTTTCAGCTTGATCCAATGTCAGCAGCCGCGTTCCGTGGTTCCATCGATAGTATTAGTCGATTGCTGGATGCGGGTTACTCAACTGAGGTGAGTTGCTTGATTCAATCGCCGTGTCGTTGAAGAAGTTGCAAACATGTCGCTATTCTCACAGTTTTTAGATAGTCTTGTAGTATCTACTTTGTGTCGTGAACAATCTTATTCAGGACTATCTCACGATTGCTATTCTGTTGTAATATCTATGTGTTATCATACATTTCATCTTATTTATGTTTTTTGTAGTGTACGTATCACATCGTCTATATCATATGCTGCTTTACTCACATATCAACCAAAAGCATTGTGCTAACATTATTTTTAACATTGTTACGAATGTTATTGTCGATTATGTGAGTGAACTGCACGTTCGCTTTCCATGATGGCTGAAGCGAAATCGCATCGAACAGTTACAACCCTCCCTCACAAGACACTTTGATGAATTGGAAAATTTGATAGGCAAACTAGCGGATAATTAATATTTGTTATGTTGCACTGTTGTTCAGTGAGAATATGTCTGAAGGTTTTGATGTTTTGTTTTAATGCTTCAGGTACGAACGGAAGCGCCGATAACAACCGTCATTATACCCTACCTGCAACCAATATTTCAGCGTTCTTATCATACTCCTTTAAGAGAGGCGGTTCGAAAGGATCATTTAGATGTGGTGAAAATGTTGATTGCTGCAGGTGCAACGGTAGGTATCTGTGATAATCTGCTTCTTGTAACTGAGGCATACTCTCCTGAACAGACAGTATATTTTTTTTACTTTTACTGACAACGTTGTTGATTTGTCAAACCGTAATTTGATGAGGTGATGGCATCTGAACGAAATTTGAGTTCGGTCGGAATCCGACCGAATTCACATTTTGAGATTTCGACGTTCGGAATTCTGGCCGAACTTCAGAATCGTTCGGTCGGAATCCGAATTTTGGAATTCCGACCGAAATTTGTCGACCGACTTTTCCTATCGAACGTCGGTCGGATGCCATCTCGAATTCGATGTGATGCTATGTGGAAAATAACAAATGCGAATGATAATGCAGATGATGTACAGCGCAGAATGCTATTCACCGTTTCTGTTCTCGTTTCGGAATCGTCTAAATCCGCAAATAATGCGTTGTTTCTTGGAGAATGACGTCGATTTGGATTTCAGAAGGTTGATTCATCTATCTTGATTAAGGCATGTGTATACGTAGTATCATATATAATATTATGCACTCTCCAAATCATAACTACGCGAATTGATCAAAAATTTACGCTGATTTCATGTTGAATTTTTTGCGCAATATTCTGCTCATGAGCATCATTTGAAAGAGTATTTGGAATATGTAATTCATTGGATTGATTCGTTTGAAAAATTCATCGGTAATTTATTTGCGTGTAAATGTTTATGAAATTAGTTCACTCGTTGCAGTGAGAATACGTTGAGCAATGTGCCTGATGCACTCTTAGCCGTTCTCGGAACGGAGAATCGCCGTAAACTTCTTCAACTTTTGAAGTGTGGCTTGAAACCGTATTTACAGGTTTGATTTTAATCGTTATTCTCACTTTTCGTTTGCATCAAACGATTGATACGGCGGTCAGTTATTGTCATTTATCAGCACTGCGATCTAGTCCGTTATTTTTCGAGAGTATTTATTCGCTAATTCATGCATTCTGCAACCTTGAAAAAA